TCAATGATTGGTCATTAAGTGAAAGGTTTCGTTTTGAGTGACACTGGTTCAATTTCAACTAGGAATACTAACTCCATAAAGAATAGCAGCAGACATGAAATTTGAAAAGTGTGAAACATTAAAGAAAACTATCTCATATTTAGATTCACTCGGTGTTGTTTTACTTGTACCCTCCCATTGTTATTTAGGACTGTAATTGATCAGTCTTATGTTAGCATATGTGCATCCTGTACAGATTGCCTCGATATAACCTTGAGTCATAGGCTTTTTAAGAAAAGATGGATAGCGGCTTGGAGTCCCGGAGTGAACATCAACTCTGAGATGCAGCTACATCCAGCTAACGAGTTCCAAATGGGACGAAACGCGCCTCCTGAATTTCACCGTTAGCCACTATCCATCTTTGCTTAAAATACCTATTTCATATCTGCTTTCCATAAAAAAATTTTACATAGGCAATGTTACCAAGGATGTTTATTAGTTAAATATATCTAATATCGGGAACATCATTCAAGAAGTTTGAGACTCCTTGAAATTGACATCGTTCAAAAGATAATCCGATGACTTCATTCTATTCAACAAAGGTCAAAAGATACAACAGTGAATTGAATACAAATTCAACTCAATCTGTAAAAATAAACTGTGGGAAGTATTGCATTAGATAAAGTTGATGCATTATTTAATTACGTATAAAAAGAGTAACATCTAACCATGAATCGACAATGTCAAGCTATTTCTTGCACCAATACATACAGATAACTATGGACACTCATTCGATAGAATTAGCATCGAAATGAAGGTTCATAAAACGCTTAAGAACTCTATAGAATTTATTCAAGCATAGTGTTTAGAAAAACCTATCATCAAAGGACACATGTATGTGGGTTCGATCTGCTACTAGACATACTAATCCCGACTAACGTTATATACTACTCATATCAATATAAGTAACACACACCACACTGTTACTACGATATCAATAAATGTACATACGATGTTTTGCTGGTTTATTCATACCCCTTAACATTATTATCCAGATTCATTATCCATTGACTGTTTGTTTAGCCAAATGTGGAAAACGTTTCCATTAATTTTGATGAACTAGCGACCTTTGCAAAAATCGAGTTTTATTTGTACATTTATACTACTTGTATATACTTGAAGTAGTCAGACTATGTAGTTAAACAGAATTGGCTTACTGAATCATCATTATAAGTTCACTATACATTCAGTAGTTAGTAAATTGATGTCATTTCTGTAATCAACACCGATTTAAATCTAATCTTTCCTCTACTACTAATCAAGATTAATCTTATTAAAATAACATTTTATAAGTAGAGCTGAGTAGTGGCTAGTAGTGGGATTCGTAACACGTTATATGTACCTGTACTCACGTGTTGTTAGTCATACAAAGAGTCGAAACAGTAATTCTTGCTTCAAACACCTAATGCGTTATCCACTTAGTTGCTAACTCCAAATAGCCACTGGCTTTTGGAACGATGTGCATTATAATTCATTTTTATTGTTTTCTTGAATCTTCTCATTCAAGTTATAGACCACAAATGACTAGTCGCTTTTGGTACGTACATTCACATTACAAGACCTGAATACAACAAAATGCGCGTTTGTTTCCATCTTCCCATTGTCACTTAAGACTGTAGTTGAGTGAAAATCAATTCTAAAATGCAGCTACATCCAGCTGACAAGTTCCAAATAGGACGAAACTCTCATTGTGGATTCCACTGTTAGCCACTATTCATCTTTTTGCTTATAAAGAACGGAACTATTTTATTGATTTAATCGTTATTAAATTTAGTGATTTATTAATTATTATGCCTTCAAGAGTTGACTTTCTCTTTATCTGTTTATCTCAATGTAACTACAATGTACACATGTATATTGTATGTAAATATTAAAACAAAATAACTTTCCCCCCCCTCCCCCCAAAATAAGTTCATCGAATTTTGTACGTGCATACACTCTTGTTCACTTGTCCACCAACTAATTTCAAAACATGTTAGTTACTTTCAACAATACTCATATATCAATATAATTCCCCTTTAAAGAAACTGGGATTTATTATTATGATTATTGTTTGTTTGTTAGCTTTATGTTTTCTCTGTGAATTTCTATGAAGGAGGTGAGGAATCTAAGTAATAACAATAATGTTACTAAGGGTTACAAAAAACAGAACGGAAATGGAAATAAAAGTTCGTAAAACGAAAAAAAAGAGTTGGAATTCGTACCGTTTATTTATCTTAGTCATTTGTCCATACTTTTGTATGTGTAAATATGTTTGCTTGTAACTATGTATCCATATGTTAAGATAGGGATATGTTGAGTACAGTATTCATAATAATAAGTAGAATGGGAATTATCTTTAAAGAGTAATTTCGATTTATTAAATGGATACTTGTAGACACAGAAATATATTCAAATATTTCTGGTAATCAATTTAATCTAAATTAAGTAGTGTGATCTGTAAAGAGAAGTACGTAAAAAAGGATTGAAATAGAGTGAAGGCTAAAAAGGTGAACATGAACAGAATATATTTGATGAATGATAGCTGACAATGGAAATCAGGATACATGTTTCGTCCCATTTTGAACTCGTCAACTCGATATACAGCCAACATTCACCCACAGACTCAAACTCAATGCTGTTCGCCCGAAACATCATTGCGTCTATCTACTTAGCTACCGAGTTCAGATAGCTACTGGCTTGTACAATGGGGTAAAGTTTAGTTCATTTGTATTGGTCCCAGAATAAATATTAATTATGAGAACCAGGTAAATCCAGCTGATGAGTCTCGAATCAGATGAAACGCGCGTCCTGGATACTAGTGCTAGCCATCATCCATCTCTTAATTAAGAAGAATATTGCTTGTGACTTAATAGTAAATATTGGGGGATTCTGCCAATAATGTACATATGCTGAAGAGACTGATCGACTACAAATCCAGACATCACTGTTATTTATTATACTGATATAATCGATTAAATAAATAAGAATGGAGATGATTATGATTGATGAAATATATTTGTGTTGTAGTATTGTAATGGAAATGATAGTTTATCGGAAGAATACGTGAAGTTGTGTGTGAATTTAAGGTATTTTGTAGTTGACGTCGATGTGGTGAATAAGGACTGACGGTGTTCTGTTATGTCATGAGTAAGACAATTTTACGAGAAATTTTACTCAATGATTTTAACAATTTAATGTTTGAATGATTGAAATGGAATGACTGTACTGTATTGTTGAATGCCTTCCATTGTCGTTTTGACTAGATAATTGTGAGGACGACCCTCACTTGACCTCACGGAAGCTCCAGTTTATTGAAATGATAATCTTTACTAAAGTCTTTAAATACTAGGTATTTTACGCTGTTGATAAGTAAATCACTTCAAGCTGATTTGTTGTTGGGTATAAGTGTGTATGTTCATTTTCCTAGTTAGTATTTTAATCGTTATTATACAACTTCTACTTTCATACATTTTAATTAGATCGATTGTTATAACCTTGATTACTGTAGGAAAAGAATTAATAACTTAATATTTTCCATTAAGTTCGTTAATCGATCTATGCTGTACGAACATTGAGAACCTGTAAGCACTTGATGGCCGTCTCGTCCTAGTATGAGACGATTTATTATTGATTGTCCGTGACTCTTCGATTTTCGAACTGTTGGTCTCACACGAGAACGCTTATTCTGCGGACTAGTGATCCGTCAACCAACGGTGTTAATATCTAATTTCAATGAATACACGATATTGCGTGACCGTCTTCCATTGTCTTCTTTGGGTTACTTCCTCACACGTTACCTGGTTTAGCTCTACTGCTCACAGCTTCGCATGTCTTCTCCAAGCTATTCACTAGTGAGCACACGATACTAGTCATGATCTCGATGAAATTCAACAATTTACACGAAGTCTTACCAATGTTACCCAAAAATTTTACTAAAAGCTTTTAACTTAATGGAAATATCGAAATAATCCATTCACAATATACATAAGTCCCAAAAGAGACTAGTCAACTTTATTTCCTAATATAAACAATAAGACAATATAAAATCCTTATAAATAATTGATTTCATTTGAATTATTTTAATTAACTTTCCAAATTACAGTTAAACAAGCCGTCTCATTCAATGTTTCATTATACTAATTATTGATATTTCGGACGATCTTTGAACGACACTGTACTGACCTTGAGAATATCCACTTACTAATTAGGATTAAATGAGAGTTATAATTTTATTTATTTATTTATTTGAACACATCAATATTGGTACAACGGGGCACCAGATACATATGCGCCACACAAATCTCACTTGATTTGTATGAGGGCTGTGATACTGACTGGTTATCCAAACCGAAGCAGGTGGTTTACTTAGGAGACCACGCCCGAAGCCTTCGATCTAAAGGTCTAATCCACAAGGCGGTGGAGCATCGTGAGGATATGCATTCCCATGGTAGCCGGTGACCAACGATTGGTTCATACGCCATTTTTTCCCTCAATATACTGGAACCCATGAGAGTTATCAACTATTATGGTGAATTAAAATTATAATTTACAATTAATGGTTAAAATTAAGAATTGTATTTAAAGTTTTCATTATGAATGAAAATCACTTAAAATGTCATAACTCAATTTAACCAACATGAATGACTGAATTTCGCGCGGCAAAATTCATGACCTTCTAACTTAAATCTGATTGGCTCATTTATAAATTATAGTCTAGCCAATTTATCTAACTAAATTTTGATTAGTTATTATTAATATAAAACAAATTAGTGATTGTTACTTTGGAACAAAAATTATAATTCTCATTGATGTACGTAAAACGGTAATGATTTTCAAGAAAAAAAAATACAAAAAAAAGGAAAAGAAATTTATACATTTCTAATAAACAATGTAATATTTAAACAATAATCTATGCATAGCAACAGATTTAACACAATTAAGGGAGGTGTTTAATACATGGAATTTAAAGGAAAATAGAAATGAATTTTATTAGTAATAATAATGAGTACAATTTATTGCGATCCTCATGTACAACTGTTAGTAATGAAGATAATGATGGGATTTATTCAGATGAAACAGAGAGTATGATTAATCATGCAAGAAGTTCACCAATGAATATTAGTATAGATACAATTGCAAATACAATTAGGATAACACCACCACCACCACTATCAACAACAACAACAACAACAACAGCAACACCGTTGACATCAAAAAGTAACACTGATGATGATGATGATGACGATGATGAACATAGTGAACGAGATATTAATCATAATAATGATACTAATTCACATACAACTATTGATGAAGATTTAATGACTAGTTATGAAGCTTCAATTGATATAGAATATAACAATAATCATTATGAATTACATAATGAATCAATACATAAATCATTTTCAATTAATTCATCTAATTTAATGAAAAAACCAGAGAAACAAGTAACATTTCAAGATATTGTTGAAATTTCAACAATTTATTCTATTACAAATGAATCACAAGAGTCCATTTCACATCATTATGAAGATGGTGATGATGATGATGATGATAACGATGATGAAGAAGAAGAAGAAGATGATTATAATGACGATGATGATGATGATGAAGAAGAAGAAGAAATGAAAATGACAAAACACAATAGTATAAATAAAAGACTAAAAAATCGATTGAAAAATGTAATCAAATCCAATGATCATAATGTTGGATTAGTCATAGCAACAATAGAACAAAATAACAAAAATAATTTAGATAATAATAATAATAATCAGATTCTTTCAGAAAAAGATTTATTAAGTGTAAGTAATAGATTAAAAGTTATTTTATTGTTTTGAAATTATACTCATTCATTACTGATTAGTAAGTGATTTAATGTTTATCTAATCTACTATATTACTAATTAGACATGATAAATAGCCTTAGTGACTAGATTACTGTTATACATAGTGATTAAATTCTTCTTTTACCACTTACTACTTGAGCACTCAAATATTAGAACCTACCATGTGACAAAAGAGATGGTAGAAGATGAATGAGTAGTAATATTATTTTGAACAGTGTCAAATAAGTTCACTTAATATTGTTTTACTTGAATCTTCCCATTGATGTTTTAGGACTAAAATTAATCAGTCTCTTATTGGCATATATGCATACTGTGAGTATTGCCTTGATATTGACTTAATTCACAAGCATTCTAAACAAAGATGGATAGTGGCTAGTAGTGGAATCCAGGACGCGCGTTTCATCCTGTTTGGGACTCGTCAGCTGAATGTACCTGCATCTGCAAATAAGTTACAAAACTTCCAGGTATTTATAGTTCTGAGTAGAAAAGAAATCATCATTAAAGTTATCGGAAAGCTACAAGTTGAAATTTTGGAATATTCTTCCAAAAAATTGATTGAATGGAATGTCTTCAACTCTTTCTAAGATTCATAGAACTTCCTTGAGGTCAAGTGTAGGTCGTCCTCATAATTATCTAGTCAAAACTACAATGGAAGACATTCAACAATAGAGTACAGTCATTCCATTTCAATCATTCAAATATTAAATTGTTAAAATCATTGAGTAAAATTTCTCGTAAAATTATCTTAGTCATGACATAACAGAACATCATCAGTCTTTAGTCACCACATCGACGTCAACTACAAAATACCTTGAATTCACACACAACTTCACGTATTCTTCCAATAAACTATCATTTCCATTACAATACTACAACACAAATATATTTCATCAATCATAATCATCTCCATTCTTATTTATTTAATCGATTATATCAGTATAATAAATAACAGTGGTAACAGTCACTCACTGTTTGAGTAATTCAAATGACTCCCATTCAATGATCATCCATTTTGTTGCAATCACAATGATAGTTTCGCAATATGGTGATCGATAATTAGTTTATAGAACCATCCACAACGTGTTCACTTGTCAGTCGCTCATTTATTCATGGAGTGGATAAGTGGATGCATGTGAGAGTGATTCCATTAGATATTTCATTTCATTATCCCACTACCATCGTCATCATATTTGTGTTATATCATTCAGTATGTTGTACTGCTGTCATCTGAAATGTTCACTGTGAACACTCAACCACAACTCTACATGCTTGAAATGTAGTGGTTGATGGAAATCACATTGCATCATGTATCAGTGATCTAGTGAACAGTGAACAGTGAGTTATTTGACAATAGTGAGTGTGATGCAATAATGAACGGACAAGTGAGAATGTTTAGAGTAACACGAACTGAATTCATTTCGGTGAGAATGTGAATGATTGGATTGATGGAGATTAGAATGTGGGAGTGATGCATTGTGTAGATGGGTGTGTAATTATTGTGATTGAAGTTTGATGTTTGATGTGTTCCGATGATGAATGATGTAATGTAGATGATTTTGTGGTAGATTGACAAGTGAATGTATGAATTGATTCATCATTTTGTCTTTATTGCTAGTGACTATGTGAAATGTTGATAATGAATTTGAATTTGTAGTGAGTTGTTCAGTAGAATGTATTGTGTTGCTCGTAATGCATATTCGAATGAGTTATCTGTGTGTGTGTGTTTATGTGATGTTGAGAAGTTGTGAATAAATGTTGTTGTTGTTGTAGTTGATTGAATATTGATTGAGATTGAGGGCATAATCACTGACATTTTGAATGTTGATGAATGATGTTTGTGTGTGTTCGTGTACAATTGATGAGTCGTACACACTTGTGCCAAATAGTTATCAAGTGTTTCTTGCATTTTTATAGTTGTTCATTTATTATGAATAAATCTCTTATGCAAACTACACAATATTCAACAGTGATTATGAACCGTGTGACAAGTGAATTCATATCACTATTCACTGTAGTAGTCTGTTTGTGTGCCAATCATGTCGATAGACATTAGTAGTATTTATCATTACTTGAAAGTGGAATATCTGGTGGCAGGAGGTTAATAAGATCGAGGAAAAATAAAACGAGAACCGAGAATGATCGATGTGTAAACGAAGGAACAATGAAATGCGAGACAATTGACTGATATATTGCAAGTGAAATGTTTGTTGTATGTTTGTCATATTTTACTAAATGATTCAATAATTTTGTGTTCAAATACATTCGATTATCCCCACTTGTGTTCTCGTTAACTGCATCAGGACACTTTTTGAACTGCTGAGTCTGGTCTGTGTTGGTGATGAAACATTTACCAATCGGATTGATGGATGAACAATTATACATAGACATTTCCCACTGATTTAAATCAGTCATTTAAAGAATGGAAGAAGAGTTCATAGAAATGTATTCTTCTTTCTCTTCTTCGTCTTATTTTCTCTTTCTTCTTCTTCTTCTTCTTCCTCTTCTTCTTCTTCTGCTACTACTACTACTACTACTACTACTACTACTACTACTACTACTACTACTACTACTACTACTACTACTCATAAATGTTTCACTACATGTTATTCATAGATTGATCTTTGTGATTTGTATGATAATGTGAAGTAATTCATTACATGCGATGTATGGTAGTCTATTGATGATTTACTATGTTGTTGTTCAATGTAGAATGGAATAATAGTCGAGTAGACATATGAGAATGAAATGGAATGTTGTTCTGTTGAGAATGACAATCTAATTTGTATGGTTGATTGAATTTCCTGGACTAAATGATATCAAGTTTCTATATATTATCGATTTTTTACACGACTAATCTATCATAATAACCGATTATATGTATCAATAGAATGTTTAATGAACAGTGAATTAGAGATAAACTTCTTGGCTTATTGAGTGTTTTGGCTGGGACTGAAATCTAAGGTATCTAACAGTATCTTACTAGTAGTTTTGGGATGCATCTACCTTTCATTGTTTGTTTTGAACGGTAATTGCATGGGTCCCATTTTCTTTTAAGCTTCAACTAATCAATACATTACTGAAAATTCTGATTGAACAAATATTTTGCCGAACTACGTTATGCTATTCATCTTTTAACGTTAATCATAGATTGATCTTAGTTGGTGTACCATTGAAAACTATAGAAATGAATCGAATTACTGTTTACTTGGTGAATGAAGTTTGTCATCAATATCACTCAGAAGAACTGTTTGTGATCAGACTCAGGATCTTCAAAGCCTGAATATATGCCTTACTATAAGACATATTGACGCAGTTTTCATTGGTACACTTTCAACTCAATTAATTTGCTTTTGAGCTCGATAATTATCTAATGCGATTGTAGTAACATATTTCACTCTCGACATGTTAGTACCTCAATCGTAACGGTTTCTCACTAGAACGCTGGAAATATCATGAGGTGATCCACTAGTTAGCTGATCAACATTGTTTAGTTCGAGGGATTTTGTGGGTATCGGTTAGATTTTTTTGTAACACCTTTCACGTTACCGGAATCGTGATTGATTGAATTCAAATATGACGATTGTGCTACAGTTCTCAACAGTTGCATTAGATAATTATCAAGTTATATAGCAACTTGATTGAGTTGAAATTAGATCACTATAAACCGAGCCTCAACGTGACCAAAAAGTCCTTGTTTTTATTTCTGAAAAGGTCATGGATGCGCAATAATAAGAGGTCTCTTGCTAGGACGAAACAGTTATTCAGTACTTTCTTTTCTTCAGTGGTACTCTTACAAAGATCGGCCTGTGACTAATACAACCTATAAATCAAACCAATCTCAAAAAAGCTCATTTAAATCATTCGTTTTCAGTTAACTTTTGATAGACTACATAATCAGTATTCGTTTAGATATCCTTCGCAAATGTTTTCAGTATCGTAAGATTGCTTATTATCATACAAACAATATTCCTTAATTGCCAAATCTTAAATTAAATTCACCTTCTAAACTGTTTATTGATGGGGTTCTAGTCTAAAAGCCAACTGATCAGTTGTTTGTATACTTGGTCTATTATGGTTATTTCAATTAAACACAGTATAAACATTTGAAAATAATTGAAATCCTTGCTTACTAGTCAATATTAAATTTATCGATTGTTAGAAGAGTCGATACACACATAATCAAACGTATTCAATAAGATACGGAATAGATAAAGTACTTATCGGTATTTACATTGAGTTTTAAACGGCTTTGTTTATAAAGTGTAGTATATAATATTGAGCATACTTTTTGGATGCCGACCCAGTGGTCCTGTAGTTTAATCGTTCGCGCGCGAGACTGATAGGACTGGGTTCGAACCTCACGTGGTGGCGGGATCGTGGATGCGCACTGCTGAGAAGTCCCATAATAAGACTAAGCGGCCGTCCAGTGCTTCCAGGTTTTCAATGGTGCTCTAACACCAATCGGTCAACGATCTCAATCAAAAAGGAATTTTAATAGTTGAGATCATGGGCTAATTGAAGCTAAACCACGATGGAAAACCTGGAAGCACTTGACAATCGTTTCGTCCCAGCACGGGACTCATCAGCAGTGCACATCCATGATCCCGCCTCGCGAGATTCGAACACAGGGCCTGCCGGTCTCGCGCGAAAGCACTTAACCAAATAGATCACTGAGCCGACCGGTATCTAACGGTGTTAATGTCTAACTTCAACCAATCCACAAAATTGAGCGACACATTTGCCATTGATTTCAATGAGTTACTATCTCACAACAGACCCGACTGAACTCCACTGGTCACTGTTTCTCACTAGAACTCCAGGAAATACCTCCTGGTCACCTTCACTAGGACCTATCAGTCCTGGGTTCGAATCTTACAAGGTGGAATCGTGGGTGCGCAATACTGAAGAGTCCCATAGTAAGACGAAAAGGCCGCCTAATGCTTCCATGTTGGTCTA